TCTATAAACTGGTCAAGGGAGACCAGCAGGCAATGGGAGAGTCCCTGTTCCCCCAAGCACTACTGGGAGTAGCAAGGAATAACGGTCATAAATTGATGGAGAGTAGATTCAGGCTAGATACCAGGAGGCTCTACTTTACAGTCAGGGCGACTAGGATCTGGAACCAACTTCCAAGGGAAGTGGTGCTCGCTCCTACCTTGGGGGTCTTCAAAAGGAGGCTAGATAGACACCTAGCTGGGGTCGTTTGACCCCAGCATTCTTTCTTGCCCATGGCAGGGGGTCAGACTTGATGATCTGCTCAGGTCCCTTCTCACCCTATCAACTATGAAACATGTATATTGACATGAAAATGCAGGAGCACAGAATGCACATGGAAATTTCAGCAGCAAGGTCTACACAGCATAATGGAAGCTGCAAAATATGGCATAATTTAAATTTCTGGCAAATCTTAACTGTGAACAGCAAAATGTGGTTCACCTCTGTGACCCAGAAACTGTCTCCTTGCCAAACATCAAAGTCCTGCTGCAGACCACAGAGACATTAACCTCTTAAAGAAAAGGTCACATTTTTATAAAGTTTCCATTAGATAATTAGATAAAAGTTTCCTTTTAAATCATCTTGAAACAGAAACAATTGCCACCTCCCTTTACACATGCACATAATATAGTACAATTGCAACTTTTATGGATCATTTTAGTATTGCCCAAATTGTTAATTTCTTCAGATTTAAAAATAAAAAAAAACCTTCAGAGATATTATTATTCATGTTTATATTTCAAAATAAATATCTGGTTAAATGTCCTTAGTAGCAATGTCAGTTGTTCAAATCATCTATTTAATCCATGGACATAAAATTCTCAAAACTTTTTCTAAAATAAAAACACTGTATGAATTATTCAGTTACACCTCTCTGTGGAAAAGCAAAATGAGAACTCTGCTTAAATGAACCAGTATAGCTAAACATGTATTTAGTGATTCAGTAATAATAACAATATCTAAAGTTTCAGATTTGAAGGGCTTGAGCTATACAGAAAAAGCAAAACCAATTATCAGCTCTGTCCTCATGCATTGCTCTAGCCCTACCTAACCTGCCTTACCAGCAGGTAAAATCCTACAAATTTTCAGCTACTTTTTGTCTTCCCTTTTCCCCCATGAATGCATTTTCAGCTGCTTAAACTTTAATGTCCCAGACAATTTCACCTCTGGAATCAGGCAAGCCATGTCCACCCAACACAGAGGTGTTGTACTCTGTGAGAAAAGAGGGGAAAGAACCAATGTGAATATGATGGAAGATACCGATTTTGAATTTTAGCTGACATCAATCTGGAAAGAGATTTTCAGCCTAGATAGCTAATAGGGCCATGCGAAGCTTCAGTCCCTGATTCAATTCAGTGGAGATTCATCTCGATTTGGTGGCCGAATCTCCGAATCCAAATTGAATCAGAAGACCTTTTAATCTCTCCAAATCGACTCGGAACCCTCCAAATCAATTTGGAGAGATTCGGTGATTCAGACATAGAGACAGCTTTGAAAGTTTCTTCTACATCCCTCTAGGTAGCAGAGGCTAATGAATGCTGTGGCACACGGAACATCCCACTGAAACACAGGGGGCTCCCCAGCATGCTTAGCAGCAGACCCAGAAGTGGACCAGAAGCACTTCCAGGTCCACCAGGGAGTGTGCTGCGGGGACCCCCCACACTCTGCTGGCTTGGCGACTGATGCCTCCTGGGTCTGGGGGGGCACCCAGGGTCCTCCTGCAGCTGATCGCTGGGCCAGGGGGGCATGGAGGGGGGTCCCCAGCATGCTCTCCGGCAGACCTGGAAGTGGACCAAAAATACTTACAGTCCACTTCCGAGTTCGCTGCCAAGCACCCTGCACTGCTGTGGGACACTGCATCCACCGCAGCACCGCAGTGATCACGAGCTGTGCTGCTACTTCAAGGTATGTAGAAAAAACTTTTAAAGCTGTGTCTGTGTCTGAATCGCTGATTCACCGAATCAGCATTGAATCATCCAATTCAGATTTGGCCGAATCGAATCGGGGACAGTGATCCGAATCAACGGACTGAATCGCTGTCCCTGATTCAGGCCGAACCTGAATCAAATAGGGCCTGTTTCACACACCCCTATAAATTAGCTCACGTTGAGCTCCATGTTGCCGCGGTTAGTCTCTGTTGGTACCACATCTAGCTCATTTATAGTTAAGATTAGGAATATCTAGGGTGCAGTCTGCCTATAACTGAACAGGTGAAAATGGACAATAAAAATGTTTCCTTTTTCATTACCTTTGAATTGATACTCCCCAAAAGTATCCTGATTTTAGGTGGGAGGGACTTTTAGTTTGCTATTTTACAATTTCCTGCCAACCTAAGGAAATGAACTACCAGAAATCAAACACAGGATCTTCAGCATGGCTATGTGAAAAACTACTTCCAGTGACCATGAACAATTGTGTAGATCTCACTTGTGTATCACATAAGCAAGGGATGGGCAAAATCTGGCCCACAGAATCCTTTGGTGGGCTGAATCCGGCCTATCTTGCCCACAGCATATCCCTCAGCCCCGCCCAAACCAAGCATGGGGAGCAGCCCAGACCATGGCGCATACAGCCAGTCTTGCTGCTCCTGAATGCGTAAGCAGGACAGACAGCATGGTAACTGGACCCAGCTTCCTGACAGCCCCCATGGCGATGGCTTACTCTGCCCAGCTGCCACTGCCAGTGTCTCTACTGCTGCCATCAGATCCGACCCCATTGTCCGGGCATTCCAGCCCATCCACTCTACACCTACTACCGGCAGTGCTGGATGGAGTGGGCAGGGTCTCCACGGACATGGGCCTGGGACCTCCGCAGGTGAGGCACGCTTAGCTGGGCAGTTGGAATAGGGCCACAGGTGGGCAGGTAGTGGCATCCAGGAGTGCGATGGGAGCCAGGACTGTGGGGCAGTGACAATACAGGGACAGGTTCTGGGGCACAGCTGTAACCCGCTCCCTGCATAGCCCTGCCCATGGAAATGGCTCCTGTTGCAGGAACGTGAGTGGAGTGGATCATGAGTCTGTTCCAGTCCCTGGCCCCATGTCACCGTCCTACAATCCTGGCACCACCTACCCACTCCTGGACACCACTCCCTGCCCACGGCCCCATCCCATCCGTCCAGCAGGACACACGCTGTTTGTGGGAGTCCTGGGCTGGTGTCCATGGACACCCTGCCTGCTCTGTCTGGCACCCCCAGCAGCGGGTGCACAGCGGATGGGCCTGGGGCCAGATAGGATCACTTGCTCCCCCCCAGCAGCTCACCGAAGCTCCTTAAGAGGCCCCCCAGCCCATATAATTGCACACCCAGATATAGACAGTAACAGTTGATAGGCTAAAGAATTGCCATCAACTATGTCCATGGAAAGCAAAACAACATGCATAATCAATTATGAAATAAGCATTAAAAGGTACTTAAGTCATATGCACCTTATAGGGACCAATCAGTCTTCTTTTGACATCCAACCTGTAACTTCTAGATTGCTCTGTGTCACCCATATCTGTTGCACGCAATCGCAGAATTTCATATACTCGCCTTGTGTGTTGCTGATTAAAAAGAAGAAGAATGTGAATATAAAGATGTTGCAATTTGCAGTCTTACTGAAGAATATTTTATGAAGCAGAAAGATGCAAAGAACTGTTAAGCTATTGTTCCACATGTATCATGATGAGGCATTCATAGATTATTAACACAAAAAACACCTAGATTTCCATGTCTATTTGTTTCTCTTAACCAGCTGGCCTGGCAACCCAATCTCCTACCCATGATCTTTCTTCTAAAGTGATTTCTCTCATGCAACCAGTGTGTTCATTCCCAAATGTACTTCAGAATTCTCTCTACCATCTGCAGTAGTGCTTCAGAAGCTACACATCTCTGTAGCAAAAGATGCTACTC